CCCCAAAACCCCAAAACCCCAAAACCCCAAAACCCCGAAAATATCGATTCGATTGGAATTATATAATTGATCATGGACACCTCTCAAAATAATTTTTTATCAAGGATCCTGTAAGTATCCTAACTCATGTATAGCTACAATGCAATGGTCAAAGAGGATATGAAGATGAGGGAGATTAATAGACTCCGAATTGCCAATATATTATCAGATCTCCAGAAAGGCTCAAAGAACCAGTATCCTTAAAAATTTATCCTAATAGTCAACTTCTGAATTTTGGGAAACAACCACAAGGTGTTAGCGCTTTAGGCAGCCAAGTCAATGCTAATCCAGTTGTATCTGGAAGGATCAATCTGCCTAACTTATTGCACAAATTTTGTGGCTGTAGGTCACAACAAACACAAGTCAAGCCCAAGAGCTTAATAGCCTTGAATGACATTTCAAAGAAGAGCATGGATGAGAAATTTCAGTGAGTTATTGAACCAATCTTTAGAGAGAAGCTGCCTGTGATGTTAGACCAACATAAAATAACTAGTAAGCTAAAGTATCCAGTAAACCAAGAGTTCCAAAGCGCGTTTGATGGTAAGGCGAAGACTCATAGATAGATGATTTGGAAGACCATGATTCACTCAAAGGTTTCAACCAAAACTCTTTCAGATTTAAAGAAGATCAAAAAGGTATGAAATTCAATAAAGGAATTTTTATAGAGGAAGCTAAGATGGATCCAAATTCAAATGAGCAATTGTTAGTAGATAAAAATAAATCTCATAACAATGAAGATGGCTGGAGTAATCAGCCTCCAAAATCTTACAGTGTTAAGAAAGCCAATGTTGGAGAAGTCGATAAGTACAAGTACGATATCTCTTATGTCAAATAATGAGAAGACTGGGAGAACCCTCAGGTACTATATCTGCAAGTATGATAACTGCCATCGGAGATTTAATAAAACATGGAATTTCATAGATCATGCTAGGATTCATACTGGAGAGAAACCTTATAAATGTGAGCTGTGTGGTAAAGAGTTTGCTCAAAAGGGAAACTACAACAAGCACAAGAATACTCACCAGCATAGTGTCAAGAAGAAGAATTACTTGAAGAAGAAAAATGATAAGGACAATGAAAAAGACTAAGAATGTAATTATTCAATTTCAACTTGTTCAATTCTGAGTTGCAACAGAGGGGTTTTGGGGTTTTGGGGTTTTGGGGTTTTGGGG